GAGAGAGAGAGAGAGAGAGAGAGAGAGAGAGAGAGAGAGAGAGAGAGAGAGAGAGAGAGAGCACATTGATGAACATCAGTGTGCAAGTTGTGACATTCGGTTGGAGGGCCCTTCTTCTGTCAGTCAGTGTTCACCCCTGCTGGTCACATTTCACCTTTCATCTCTACCTGCAATATGTTATCTGCAACCTCTCATCTGTTGTCAGTGATCCCCAATGGCCATGCCCTTTGGTGAATCGTAAACACCCAACGACCACTGTACCCCTGAGCTGTTGCTGTGAACCCCAAACCCCAAACCCCAAACCCCGAAACCCAAACCCTAAACCCTAAACCCTAGATGCGAATTTTAAACTTTAGAGCCTTCAGTTGCTCAGTTTTTACCCCTATATCACAGATCCTGGGTCATTGTCTGGCCCAAGACTGCCTGTCTGGCTATGCAGGCTGGTGAGGGCTATGCGTTTGCCCTTTTTTATTTTTGCGCTTAGGTTCTTCTCGCGCTGCGGGGTCTGTTTTGGCTGCGCTTGCTGGCAGGTCCTGAGGCCCTTCGTAAAAGAGTATGCATGCTGTCCTGAGGCCCTGCGTAAAAGAGTGTGCATGTTTGTGGTATTTACTATTTAGACACAGTCGAGTATGCTCAGCAGTTAGAACACACTGCCTAAATGAAAGAGCATGCATCCAGACCATTTTGTTTTCTAAATGCATGCTCTCTTCATTAATGAAAGCGTTCTAAAACATTTTGAAGTTCGAAGCCTCTTTCTACTAAACAAAGAGTATGCATTGCATGAGAAGCGCAGATGCGCCGTCAAGAAATTGTCTTGCCCTCACGATGACACACGATCTACACCATTGCTGAGTACAAGGGTGAATGGCCTCCTGAAATCATTTCGGAAAACGATCGACAAATCATTCTCATCATTGTGTCGCGTGATCAATGATGTTAGGGGGTGACAAGGTAGAGAACGGATATTTAAAAAAAGAAAAAAGAAAAAAAAAGGTAGGGAAAGGAGAAAAGGGAATATAGATAAAAAGGGGAATACGGGGGGATCTTCTTCTAGTTTGCAGATTTTGCCATTTTCCACAATAAATGAAATAGCACGCGGCCAAAAAAAAAAAAAAAAAAAAACGAAACAGCACAGGGACACAACAGCCCCCTGGGCCTTTGTGGAGATCAGCAACCCTCCTTGTCACAGATAATTGTTATGCTAAGGTTAACCCTCAGCCGTATGGTTTGTGCAGACCGAACTATACAGCACGACCTAACCACAGTCAGCTGTAATGGTTATGGTGGTTAGGCTGACTGTGGTTAGGCTCAGCTGTGTAGTTTGTTTGAGTTCGAACTATGGAATTTGAACTATATGCCGCATAGCGTATAGCGTAACGATCGTCAGCTGTACAGTTTGTTTTGAGTTCGAACTATCAAACTATGGGGTAAGTTTAGGCTTAGGTGTATAGTCTGTCTGTGGAGTTCAAAGTTTAAACCATACAGGTACTCAGGTGTTATGGTGTACGTTTAGGCTTTGGTGTATAATCTGTTTGTCGAGTTCTAATCATACAGGTACTCAGGTGTTATGGTGTACGTTTAGGCTTTTAGGTGTATAGTCTTTTTGTGGAGTTTGTGGAGTTCGAACCATACAGGTGAGCCTGACTGTGAAAAGTTACTGATTACCTGCAGGTTTCTGAAATTCTTGACTCCGAACTTCTTGGCGAAGGCCTGCTGCCGACTCTTCGCCATGCGTGGGAACATCTTCTGAGACCCGGAGCAAGGACTGTGCCAAGCAGGGCCATCATTTATGCTCAGGTATGGGTCTCATGATCAAACCTCCACACCTTCGTCTGATTTGCAATGATGATTCGCAACACAGGCAGAAAATGTGTAGAAAATTTGTTAAGATGCCTTCTTCCTCTCCTCATGCATTGCTTCTGCTGTAGGAACTGACGCTCTTGTGATCTGATTGTTACGAGTAATTCCCCCACTCTCGTCGTGGATTTGGTGGGGTTGGGGGGCCCGGGGTCGTGGCGGAGGAAAAGCGATTTAGCCTGAAGTTGTGATCTTTCATTTTGGCTTTTGAGAGTGCTTACAGTCAAATGCAACTATCTATCTAATGATTATTAAAAAAAAAAAAAAAAAAGACCCCACCACCCGCCCCCCCCCAAAAAAGAGCCACGTGCTCACTGAAATCAGGGGTCCTCACTGTGACAGTGCGATGTACTCTCTCTGTGACTGACTCTCACTGCGAGTGAATGGCCGGGCATAGTAACACTAGCTAACTCTCCTAAATGTATCTGACTGCAATTGCAGCCTGACCTGGATGCATCTGACTGCAATCACGTCCAGAGCTGAGGCTTTTCGTAAGATCTCGTATAAATTCTAATATATACTCTCTATCATTTTTATAAATTTTATTATTATTTGTAATTTTTTATTATTTTTATTTTTTTACAAGCAACACAACCCCCTTCTGTTCTAGGGCTTATCAGTCCGGTTACTTATCACTGGCAAGCAAGTTTTTACATCCATCCAAGGGAGGAGATCAGACGAAAGGAAAGCAACGGTCCCGCCCTTGTGGTACTACCGTCTTCACCCGAATAGAACGCCCGGTCATGTATTTGGCACAACTTTCGGTCCAGATGCAGCGATAATGACCGGGCGTTCTATTCGGGTGAAGACGGTAGTCATCTATCAAGGGGGGGACTGCTACAGTGCATCCCAACCCCCAACCCTTGGCCTTTCCTAGGGGGTTGGCCTGCAGGTCGGGAAGCTTACTAGCAGCACCCAGTCACGCGACAGGTGAAAACCCAGAAAGGCCAGGCACGAGGGGGACGTCTGTGGCAGTTCCTCAGGCCGCCTGTCAACCTACTGATTTCATACTTCTGATTTCATAGTAAGTTCTGATTTCATAGTAACTTTAGTAACTTCTGATTTCATACTTCTGATTTCATATTTCATACTTCTGATTTCATAGTAAGTTCTGATTTCATACTTCTGAGACAAAAGATAACTATTGCTTACACATATTTCTATTGTCTTTGTAACCACTACCATCCCCATTACTCGTTTTCTACTATTGTCCCTAATTCTATTTTGGCCATTCTACTTTCTTGTTCCTTCCTTAAAAAAAAAAAAAAAAAACACTCTTGCCTTTTAGCCTACCTATCTTCGTATATATCTTTGTGGCCTCCTTAGTTCCACTCCCTCTCCATTCTACCAAGATCTTTAGGCTTATCTCTCCTGTGTCCTCCCCAGCATATGTGACTATGTTGTAATCCTTGGTCATCTACTCTATTATGTTCGTATGCCAAATCTCACCCACCTTAACCTTCCCCTCCTATTCCTCTCCCCCCTCCCCCTAATTTTGCTCGCATCAGCCCACCTATTCCTCCCCCTATCATCACCCTTAACCTACTGTATTACACCTATGAATCTCCTACTCACATCTTTTCTAACTGCAATGAACCCAGTCAGGAGAGAAACTCGTCAATGTCGAAGTACAAGATGTCTCAGTGCAAGTCAATGTCTCCAATAATCATGAATGTGATCCGAACTACAACGTCTGGTAACCAAGGGACGAAGCTGATAAGAGGGAGATAGATGGAAGAGAAAATATCCATGAATGTCATCAAAGATAGATCTCCCTCATGTCCCACTCCTTCTTCGGGCATCTCCCCCCTGTCCACTTCAGCGTGCAGCATCCCAAAGACGAGCCTGGCGAGAACCGATCACAACACAGTGCCACGTAGGCACAGATCTCCTATGAAGACGTCACAGCAGCACTCAACGTCTACAGCAATAATCAGGTAAGCTTCCCTCTCTTCCACAACCAATCTCGCAGCCCTGATCTCCCTCCTCGTCGAGACCCCCCAATCTGTGTTGAAGGCAATGTGGCAAGCGCCACGTCAGCAATCAAGATTCCAGCTGGCGCCAAGAACAGAGAGGCGCCAGCGACACAATGCAGCAGTCTCGCGTCATCGTCTCACGCGATGCCAGCATCGAGCCAGCGTCGTGCCAGTGTAGAGCAGCAAGTGCAAGACTGAATCTCGGTCAGCAGGGGGTTGGCCAACTTATAGTTGACTCGAGGTCGACAAGCCTCTGGTCTCTCGGATACGACCTCCCAGATTGACCCTCGAGGTCGACAAGCCTCTGGTCTCTCGGATACGACCTCCCAGATTGACCCACGGGCAATGGCCTGGATCTCTTACAGTTGCAGATTTCCACTTGGACTGGATTCTTGGCGGATACCTGCAAACAACCAATGTGTGTATCTGATCGGTGGCCTGGGCTGGGTCCGCATGGACTTTGACTCGTGAGCCTGAATTCTTGAGCTGCTGTCGACCTTTGCCTTTCCATGGTCAACTGTCGCACGCAGGGCCTCTGAAGCCCATGTTTAGGCTCTGCGTCGGGTACCTACAGCAGCAGGCCTCGTAGCAGGCAATTTCTGTAGCTTGGGCGTGGCCTTAGGCCCCTGTTATGGCCCCTAGTATCCAAGTGTCGACGTATGGCTCAAGACTATTGCACATTTTACGTTGAGTTGTTGCATAACTCCCTTCCAAACTATAGTACAATAATGGTTGCTTTGCATAACCTTTCATCACCCTATCTCTGTTCTTCATCCATTCCAACCTTGGGGGCTTGGCGCTTCAGGATCGGGCCAAAGCTCATGTGCCCTGTACATGAGTCTCGAGTAAGGACTTGCGGATACGGGGCCCATCTTGCCCAAAATCTTTACTTCTTTTGTCCTCCTGTGCATCTGCATCTATGCAGGTCTGCCAGGAGAGCCACTGTAATGTTCTCCAAGGCCGTTCCCTGGTATGCCTGCAGCGGAGGGGAGGCTCCCTGTCTACATTGCTCATTTCGCAGGGTCCATATTGCCCATAGTACTGCCACACGTATCATTTCGGCAGCCATCAGCTTCTCTGGTTCCTCTCTATCCACTTTTATTAATACCCCCCAGAGGATGGCTGCATCATCCGTTTCTGCGACATCCGTCGGGGTTTTGTCTGCCACCTGCTGCGGCCACCATTCCCAAAAAGCCCGAACAGTTGGGCATCTCACAAAGAGATGGGGGATATCCCCCACTTGTTCACAAGCCGCCACACAATTCTCAGAATGGTCCTTGCGTCGACTCTTACGTGCCAGCCATTGAGCTGTGGGGATCGCCAAGTGGTACAGTTTCCATAGGTACCCTGCCTATTTCTGATCCGGCAAGGCTGCTATGATGGCACATTGCTCGTTCCATCTCCTCTGCGTCCATCTATTAAAATATGCATCGGGGATCCAATCTCTTTTTGCCCATCGATCCCTCAACTCTCCACAAATATCCACTGGTTCCAGCGAGGAGTTGTATATGTTTTTTGTGGTGAGACTCTGAAGCGCCACGCCTTTCTCTGCATCCTTTGTGCCGGCCACTCCCATTCTCCCGAGTCCCAAACCAAATCCCTTCGTCTGTTCGCTACCGTCCTCTCCCGAACACAACGCACCCTGATTATGGCTGTACCGAGCCGGAAATATAGCGTGTATACATTCATTTTCAGGGTGCATTATGTTCGGGGGAAGACGGTAGTCGGAATGACGAGTATCTCCTCTCTGTCTACCCCTCCTCCATTTCTTCACATATTGCCACCGTTTCAATCATGTGTCTGTCCCACCTTTTCCCAGTAGTTGCTCTCCCTGTCATAATCTGTTGCAGGGGTTCCCCCAGGCCCTCATATCCCATGTTCACCTGCCATTCATTCACCTGGAGCTTCCCATCTGGCAGCACCTGTTCCACCCTATAAACTCGATCCGGCCTGGCCTCTCCTCTTATTTTTACCCATACCCCTATAGAGTTAGTCCATTTTCCTTAACAACTCTATCCACTGGGGGAGGGGATGGCCTCCCGCACTTGCCTCACTCTTTGCCGCCTCCTCATCCGACCCTGCAGGGATTGCACCAGCTCGTCTTCCTCCTGCCAATCCTTGTGCTCGTCGTCCCATAAGTGACCGACTTTATGAATCCCCTGTTCGGTCCATTTCCACCCATAGGCTCCTCTCAGGCTGTGCCATGGCGGAGGCTCTCCCATGGCATCAGAGACAAACCTGTTGCCAAACAGCAATTGGTTATAGACTCCGTCTGCAGTTTCTGGCAAGCGGCATCTCACTTGGACTTCCTTCCATAGTGCCACCTTCGTTGACCATATCGTGGTCCTGCGTATGTGGCCTATCGCGTCAGTACATAGCAAGCACAAGTCCACAATATCCGCAGGCACTTGGAGTGTATAGGGCACTTGGACCATATCGTGGTCCTGTGTATGTGACCATAGCAAGCAATTGTGTCCGAGTGACAGCTGCCTAAGCTGCAGCGCGATAATCTGCAGGCGCGGGTCTAGGAGTCGCTGACCGCCGAATCGCTTCGGTTGAATGAGCTTATTCCAAGCCACCCTGCAGATAGAATCCTCTGCCTCCGCATCATTTGACCACCTGGTTGTCCTGTGGCAAGCGTGCACTCACGCTGTTAAGAATGGAAAGGGACCAAGAATGGATGATATGATAGTCTTGTTGGAGCGCTGCAGCGCCAAAGACCTGTTCGAAAGTAAGTAACCCACTGCATGCTTCTCGACCGAAGTCGCAGACACCCCCGTTTCTTGGGGATGACTTCGATGAAGTAAACAATCACTGCATATTCCGTTCGTTCAGCTGTTCGTCGAATGAGTCTTTGGTCCGACATGCCGGGTAGTGGCAGGGCGTCAAGCAAATTTTGATTTTCAGTTGGTATAAATTTTAAATTTTGAGTTGCTAAAAACGTAAGTCCTAAAATTAGTCCAATTACAATCCATGAAGTAATTAAAACCTGTGCATGTTCTTCAAAGCATACTTGCGGCGCATCACGTGTGCGCGAGTCGCGCACACGCGGCGCATAGCGCACGTGCACGTGATGCGACGCGGGTGATGCGGTGCAGGTGATGAGGCGCATCCCGGAAATAGGGTTTCTTTTTTTTTTTAATTTGGGAAGGGCAGGGTGTAATGACTGTCTCTTATACACATCTAGATGTGTATAAGAGACAGGCGCATCACGTGTGCGCGAGTCGCGCACACGCGGCGCATAGCGCACGTGCACGTGATGCGACGCGGGTGATGCGGTGCAGGTGATGAGGCGCATCCCGGAAATAGGGTTTCTTTTTTTTTTTAATTTGGGAAGGGCAGGGTGTAATGACCAAACACCCTCCCTCCCTTCTAAAACTTCAGAGTGCAAAAGAAAAAAGAATTGGGGCCACGTCAAGCCTAAAAACTGCGTATGCATGTTCTATTTTCCAATCTCTTTTGCGAAGGACCCTTGCAGAAAACTGGCAAGAGCTCATCACGAGGCGGAGATGGTCGTTGAAGTACAAGCAGGGTGTGGGCAGGCCGATAATATATGCTCTGGATTTGAATTCACGTCTGTGGAGCAGTTATGGGTTACTAGCTTCGCTAGGCCAGATCTCTGCACGCACTTCTCTTTTTTTTCGTTTTTCTTTTCTTAGGAATAGGTGGAATGGCACAAAAGACAAAACATATGGCGGCGTATGGTTCCATTTTCTAGGGGAATATTCATTCTAGTTTTGCACATTCAGTGACAAGCTCTGAGAATCACGTGCAGAGCCCAACAGGGCCTGGCTAAGTTGGCAACCCATAACTGCTCAAACATATACCTGAATTTGAATTCACACTATATATTCATGGCCCGTTCATGCTTGTGCAAATATGGTGCCCACACCTGCTTGGTGATAGGACCTTCGCTTACTTAGTGGAGGGACCCCTCAGATTCCTTGCAGTGACCCTCCTTTTTATGTGAAAGAGGACCTTTGCCTGCTCTCTCTCTCTCTCTCTCTCTCTCTCTCTCTCTCTCTCTCTCTCTCTCTCTCTCTCTCTCTCTCTGTCTCTGTGTCTGTCTCTCTTCTCTATTTTCCTTATAAACTGCGAGAAATAAGTCCTCAACGTTTTGGGATGGCGGGAAGGCACTTTTTGTTGCCCAGTGATGGCTCATCATTATTGCCTCCAGCATTAGAAGTAACCTTCAGAGTCTGCGTTAGACTGCATATTTATTTTAGTTCTTTATTTAAATTATTTCCCTGTTCACCGTTTCGTCTGAGTTGTGTTTATGCCATCTCCAGAGAGAAGCCGTTTTCCGGTTCAGACTCCAGAGTATTCCGACAGATTGGGTCTGGTCAGAACTTGTTCTTGGACTATAAGCATCATGATCTTGGCTTGGACTATGTTCCAGGTTCTTAAACCACCAGTACCTCGCCCAGCTATCGATTCCGACCCTCAGCAGACCGGTACCCCGATCCTTGCCGAGGCTGGAAGTACTGGTAGTAGGAATAAAAAAACAAAAAAGGAGAAAAAAAAAAACCGACTTTCTGAAAAAAAAAAAGAAAAAAGACAAAAGAAATAAAAAACGAGCTCATTTGTGTCCGGCCGCCACGGGCAAAAAAACAACAACAAAAAACAGAGCGAGAGAGAGAGAGAGAGAGAGAGAGAGAGAGAGAGAGAGAGAGAGAGAGAGAGAGAGAGAGAGAGAGAGAGAG